CTATATAGCAATCTCTGATTTGTCTTGATTTTAAAATCAAATTGAATATTTTTTTCAGTTTACAGATATTAGAAATACCAAAACTGTAAAATATTTTTCACTAAATGTATTTGATAGCAACTCTTGCTAGTTAATAGTGCATGCTCTTTGAGGTTTATTTCTCAAATTAATCTTTCTCTAGATGCTTTCCTGCAGGATTAATACAATAAATAAATAAATACAATTACAATAATAAAATTTGTCACTTAGCTGATTGTTATATTCAGCGACTCAACTCAAGTTTCATAGACACATGAAATGAATTTGTTAGATTTTTTTTTTTTTTTTTTTTTTTATCAAGAATAGAGTTCACCCCCAAGCACAGCAGTAAAGCCACCAAGAGATAAGGGGTTACTGGGTGTGGAAATTTTAGAAACAAGAACATTGCTAAAAAGTGTAAACAGAAGAGTAATCAGGAGGGCAGTAGATATTAATTGACATTCCATTTAAATTTTTGTAGATTAAAGTTAACTGGAAGGGAGCTCCACAAGTGAGAAGTTTGAGAAAAGCTGTTAGCATAGAATTTACAGTTACATCTAGCCAGCTTAAGTGTAAATTGATGAGACATTGTCACCAGTCTAGTACTGCTCTTGAATTTGAAGATTCTAAGCAGTATAATGAATAGCTCTCCTAACGATTAATATAAAAGTATTTATAGAAAAGGCAAAGGAAGGCAACCTTATGGCGGTAGGAAAGTGACTGAAGTTGAGATGCCAGATCAGTCAATAATATTGCTGATTATTCTTTAGATTTCATCAATGAGTTCTAGATAACAAGAACACCACACCATATATAGCATAACTAAAATGTATTAATTCCTTTGAAATTATTTTGTTTCTGATATGAAAATACAGTTAGCAAACAGTTGCTTTTTATCACAATTCTGGTAGCTGTCTTATTGATAAGGTTATGAAATTCTCTAGCTGTAGTCATTCAAATCTAAAAAAAAATATATAGATTCTATATAATCCCTGATAATTTGCCACCTTTATTTATATACATACCCTTGGACCTCATCAACTGTAATTGAGATCATAATCCACAACTCCTCACTGCAGTTTATTGTGAACGTTATAATCTGTTTTATGGCATTCTATAGTACGTCCATCACTAGAGCTAAAGCTTTAATTTATTTTCCTAAACTGTTTGCCAACCACAGCTAGAGAGACCAGTCTTCTCTGTTATTTAACTCTATAGTTTGGTGTTAAGAGATGAATTCATAACTTCCCCAAGATCCTTCAGGACACTGGTGATCATGGCTCTCCACAATTTCCTGTTCTTTGTAGATCTTGATAAAGTTTTTCTTTTATCTCTTGTAATCCGTTCTAACAATTTACACAAGCTCATTAGGTAGATTATGCATTGTTTTCCTCTGTTCCTCTTGCTTTCATTTTGTCCTGTGAGTGTCAGATTTTCCAAGCCCTCTTTCCTCATTCTTTGATGTTAAGTATAAATGTCTTCTTTGTTTCCATTTTCTATAAAACTTTTTCATTGCTCCCATATTCAGTTTATTCCCAAGAATATTTGTGCAAAATTGAATGTAACTAGAACTTGGCTTGCTGATTTCCTCATTGTGAACTGCTAACCATTACACTACCTGCACATTTTTATATATATATATATAAAAAGAGAGTGGATGTGCTAGCACTATTAGTAAAAAAAAAAAAAATTTCCGTTTCTTAGATGATGTAGTGTCAATTTTTGACTAGTATTTCACTTTTTTTTTTTTTTATTATTACAACTTATCATTCTTCGGTAGTCATTTGTAGACAATATCACTCAGAAATGATAAAATGAATTTTCAAGATTATCTACAAAGGCTTATTCTTAATTTCTGATCACCATTACTTAGTAACAGCCATAGCAGAATGGTTTGAATATCACAATATATAAAAAAAAAAATAAATAGGTTGAAAGAAATTTAACCATGTCTTCATCTAAAAAAAATAAAATTCCAGAGAGTATAAAGTTTGTTGCATTTTATTTTTTTAGTTTCCATGGTTAAGTAGGTACTAAAGTGCATGTAGATGGTTTCATTTAATTAACTTTTTATGAAGGTAACCAGCATTTTTTTTTTTCTTGTAACATAGGATAAGTTTTCCAAGGAAAGGGAAGCTTTATTCAGTGAAACCAATCTTGTACAATGACCAGGCGTCAAGCTAACGGATGGCGTCCTTGACAGGCGTCAAGCTAACGGATGGCGTCCTTGACAGGCGTCAAGCTAACGGATGGCGTCCTTGACAGGCGTCAAGCTAACGGATGGCGTCCTTGACAGGCGTCAAGCTAACGGATGGCGTCCTTGACAGGCGTCAAGCTAACGGATGGCGTCCTTGACAGGCGTCAAGTTAACGGATGGCGTCCTTGACAGGCGCCGTTAACGGATGGCGTCCTTGACAGGCGCTGATGGCGTCCTTGACAGGCGCAAGTTAACGGATGGCGTCCCTGACAGGCGTCAAGCTAACGGATGGCGCCCTTGACAGGCGTCAAGCCTAACGGATGGCGTCTCTTGACAGGCGCAAGTTAACGGATGGCGTCCTTGACAGGCGTCAAGTTAACGGATGGCGTCCTTGACAGGCGTCAAGCTAACGGATGGCGTCCTTGACAGGCGTCAAGCTAACGGATGGCGTCCTTGACAGGCGTCAAGCTAACGGATGGCGTCCTTGACAGGCGTCAAGCTAACGGATGGCGTCCTTGACGTTCCATGTATAAGCCAACTTCATGTATTTTGCATTAATTTTAACCTTTTTTAAAAAAAAAAAAAAAAACTGTATAGTGCAACCCCCTGTATATCAACACAAACCTTTCATTATAAAGTTATTTTATCCTATTCCTATTTTCACAATCATCTACTAGTTTATCTCACCTTTCGTCTGGCGTACTGTTTTTATTTACAAATTGAACTTTTTGTACAATTACTGTTTTCATAAAACTTGAAAGCAAGAAATTCACCTTTTCAGGTTCATAGTTTTTTATATTAATTTTATTTAAATCATCTTTTTATGATCTTAAGAGATCAGTTAGTAAAGTATAGAATTTTATTTTGTATTTCAAAATGTAAAACTAGGAAAATAAATTGAAGATTCCTACTTTCAATAACACTTAGCCCAAGCATATACAATTTTTTTTTGGTTGACCGAAATCAATCCAGGCATTTCAAACATGAAACAATCTATGGCATAAAATATAATTTGACTTTATATATTTATCAGTCATGTATCTTTATTTCCCCTTAGTAATGAGATATTCCATTATGGTAACAGGGGTCATTTTTCAACACTCAATAAATACCTTGTTACCATAACAGAATATTTCGTTTTTAAGTAGGGAGATTGGACTACTAATATATTTTTTTTTCTTTTAAGCTCTTTTTGGATATTGTTATTTTTAATGCTTTTTCAAAAACAATCTTTCTTACATGGCTAGTTACTCATGATGAAAATATGACTAGAGCTTTTTGAAAGTTATCTTAAATATTACTTATGTATGTATGTAAAAACAGGTGCTTAATAACTACTGAGTATTAGTAAGTAATAAGAATATGTAATTACAAGGACACTTAGGTAAGAAGACAATATGGGGTAATGTCATAACATATTTTTTTTTTCTCCTCCTCCTCTCTCTTTCTCTTTCAGTATAGAAATACCTTCAAGATACTTAAATTAAAATTTAATAAAATATTTACCGGTGATTACCTTGAACTTACCTTATGCACTACTAATTAAACTGTCACCTAATCAGTTAAACAAATGGCATGTCTTTCACAACAATGAAACTTTTCTCTCTTCACAATGTGTTGTTTGTTTTTTTTCAGAGCACTTAGTGGTTAACATGATTTATAAAAAAATAAAGCAAATAATTTTCTTTCTTTTTTAAATATTCATGATTATTTTGGAATGATGTCTGCATAAATCTTCATGCTAACTTTTGAAAAAGTTATCTTAACTCACTTATTAAACAATATTTTAATATCATTCACTTGAACCAGAAAATAAGTTGTAAATTTTAGCTGTTGAAAATTGATTGGTTAATTAATGGAAATGCTTTCTTACTATGCATCTTGTAATGAACTTCTTGCTTTTTAACTTTACAAAATAATTGTTTAAACCTTTTTATTCTTTGCCTAATAATATAGCTGCTGCCTCACTGTAGTTATCAGATTTATGATTTATTTATATATATATATGCAAATGTCTCAATTGTCATGGGACAGGTAGCAAAAACTATAATTGTTCTAAACACATAGTAAATAATTACAACTGCTGTAAATATCTAGTCATTACTAGAACTGATACACAATGATATACCATATTTCCTGCACATAGGTGTGTGTTTTTGTTTTTTTTTGGAAAGCCTAATAAAATGAAATCACTGACTTTTAGAATCCAGTAGTTAGGCTTAGTTAAGCTAAGTCTCACAGAGGTTACTTAACTGACAACCCTGACAACTAAAAAAAAAAAAAATATAGGTTCATCTTATATGGTTGGGAGATATACGTGTCTACTGGTAAGAAACAAAATGTATACTTATTTTAGTATAAATTATAGCTTCGTTATTATATATCAGGCACCATTTTATCAATACTAGCACTCAGTGTGTGATTCAATACTAATATATATATATGTATGTATGTATATATTTTAAAATGGTCAGCAATTTTTCAGTTATACAAGTTTAGTTAAAAACTAACAAAAGTTCTTTAATGGCTTTTTTTTTTATATCTCGTATCTATTTTGGGTTTCTGGTATATATTTACATATAAACTGTCCAGTGTTTGAGTACTTACCTTATGCTATCATTACACTTTATCAAAGACTATTGTTTGTTTGGGGTTTTTTTTTTCTTAGTTTCAATCATTGCATTTTGGTATGTTCACTTTTGTTTTGTTTTGTTTTTAACATGTTAGTGGATTGTTTGCTTTTGTTTTTTTTATTCTTCTAATATGTTTAGTGGTTTCTTTACAGTTTGTGATATATGGTAGCCAAAAGTCAAGAACATGATCCAGAATATAGAAAAAATAAATAAACCCTTAAAGAAAACTTGTGTGGATGTATGTAATTTTTTTTTTTCTCTCCTACAAAATATAGCTTAGTCTTGCACTGTCGTGAATCCCCTATAAGGTTCAGTCATTATCTGAATGAACTGTCCTTGAGACTAGCTTGTTAACCATTACACTATAAAAGAAATCTCATTTGGTTAGTTTTTGTAACTGTGATTGCAGCAGTTTCACTGATATTAAATTTTTGTTCAAGTAGATAGCAAGTTGTAAGAGGTGGGGAAAGAATCCAGAATTCTTGTAGACAACAAGATTAAGACATTTTTGTAAATGACATGAATGAAGATTTCCAAAGTCTGGTACGGTGCCAAAAAAATAAAAGTCGGATGTTAAGTTTTAAAGATTCTATTTGTTTTTTTAAATCATCCTCTGATAAAATGAATATTTATTTTAAGATCTGACTGCAAACTTTATTTTGTTTTTTATTTCTTATCTAATTTTCTGGAATAAAACCTATACAAGTTTTATAAGCTGTTTTAAGGGGCTGAAGGATGACAGTTTTATTTTGAAAATTAATGGCAGTAATTAATTTTTATTTATTTACAGTTCAGCTCAATGTCATAGATGGAGGTTCCAAAAGACAAATGTAGTCTTCTGTTTGGTTTTTAGTTCCAGCAAAAAACTGAGGGGTGAAGCCTCCTCCCAAGTGCCATAGATGAAAATGGTATGTGTATGAAACATTCTTGTAAAATAAGATTAATGCTCAAATTTTCCCACACCAGTTTTTCCTCATTCTTAAAACAAAACTATATAAAGAATTTTTCTATTCTTCACATTTTAAGTGCTCCAACTGCTTGCATTCAGGCAGAATTTAACGTTAATGATTACCATTAATTAACTGATTTCCAAGACCTTTTAACTTTCTGTTAATGTCTTCCATATATCTGTGGTGAAAATGGATTTTAATAATTTCAGAAAAGATTTAATCATATTATTCTATCACAAACTGCATAAACTTTTAATACAAATTGTGAATACCACAGAAAGCATCCTTAAAATATAGAAACATTTTTGGCCCTGAAACTCTGTATATTGTTATGGTTTATTAAAAAAAAAAGCTCAGCTTTAAGGTTGTAATCCCCCAACTTCTTACTCTTTAAGAGCCATATCTATTTAGGACATAAATTGTTCTTGGAGAAAATGGTAGTTTTCTATCACCTTTTTCAATGTTTTGAATTCAGTTTTCCTACTACGAGAGATGCCCAGTCTGCCCTGCTATTTAACATTTCTCTGCAGAGGGAGGAAGAATGGATTCAGAAGGAAGGCAAAATGTTTCAGCTGGAATTTGAACACTGTTCATTTTCAAAACCTTTAACCTCTCAAGTTTGTAATGAGGGTTTAAAAAAAAAAGTCTAGGTTTCTAGGTAAATTTTTATTTCTATAGTATGGAATTACAGATTTTTAGCAGAAATGCTAATATTTAAATATTCCAACACATGCTGTTAGATGATTTTCTATGTGATGTTTTTTTTTGTTTGTTTTTAGACTGCTTAAAAAGTTCTGTCTTCTTTCATTTGTTTTGATTGAATCATTTTCTATCTACGGCTTAACCAGTTGCAGGTTAAAGCCAGAGAATATTTTTAGATTGTAAAAAATTTTTTTTGAGATGGTAAGATTTATATCAGTAAAGCATTATTAAGTATATAGCTGGGGGGGGGGGGGGAGAAGAAATGGATACAAACCTTTCCCAAGGGTAATTGCACATAAGAAAAACCCAACGGTAATTGGAACTCTTCAACAATTAGCAATAAGTCATTATCCATTACACCACCCACACATCCAGGCTTATAGCACCTGATATTCCCAAGTGATTAAGACATAAGCCTTGTTTTGATTTCTTTTATTTTAAAGTGTAAATATTTTTATTGCTGTGTACACATATGGGAAAAAATACTTTGTGCATTTTTATATGTTGATGTAAAAAATTGTCTCTTTTTGCTGATTTATGTATCTAATGTAGGTATTTTTTTTTCACATCTATATAAAGTGCTCCTCTCTCTCAAATATATATATATATATATATATATATATATATATATATATATATATATATACACAAATAAAAGGAAGAAAAGCAAGGATAAGGAAAATATATACACATATATATTACACAATGTAAAGTGGAGAATTGAAAAATATAGCAAAAAAGAAAAACAGTTAGATGCCCCTCCCTATATATATTCTTTATCCTTTCTCTTCCTCCCCTTTGTGATTTACACTGATATCACAGGGAAACACTGGTTCTTGTATGATCATTGAATTTAAGCAAAGTTGGTTTTGGTCAGCACCTAGATTGGTATACCAGGTGCTGTAAGCTTTAATGTTTGGGTGGGTGTAATTTACTTATGTGCAAATACCCTTGGGAAATGTATGAATTCATCTCCCAAGCTATAGGTTAATTAGTAAAACTTGTATCAGTAAATCTTTGTAAAATGTTTTTTTGAAGATAATCTAAAATATATTGCCTAGCTTTAATAACCTGTAAAAGAAAAGTTAAGCCATTGTAAATAATCAATCAATCATTTTTCCCCTTTGTTGTATATTTCTGTAATTATTATACAGATCATTGGAAAAAAAAAAGTGCAAAAGTATTGAACCTTTGCATGATTCAGCATATCTACTTATGAAGCACCTTTAATAAAATTCAGGTTCTTTTAAACCTGTATAACAAAGCAATAGTAATATTTTGATCAAATGTCTGAAATTATTGTTTGTTTGTTTTTAAATTTAAAGAAATGTTCAAAAGATTCCTAAACAAAATTTAAGGAGTCAACAACTTTTCTTTTTTGCAGAAGGAAAGATAAAATATCCAATAGCCAAATTACCACTGTTCTAAATTAACACATCAGGTGCTCCTGTTTTAATTCTCTCACAAGATGACTGAACAATTTTCTCTGGCTGGTAATTAGTCTTTCACTTGTATAGGTGAATAAAAATAACTGCATCAGAGTATTCTTAGTCTTTGACTAATTTCTAGTGTGCTTGTAAAATCCTTATGCCTCTGCACTAGTCACATTTAGCTTTTCAATTTAAAAAAAAAAAAATCATACTGTAAACATTTTAGCTGTTTTATTTTTTTTTTTATGAATTCTTTTCAAAAACAAATAAAATTGTTTGATTTAGGCATTCCCTCCCCCCAAGAATTTTGAACCATTAAAAATTGAGTTTTTAACTACAAATTTTATTTCTTTAAAATCAAACAATTTTAACCCTTTCTCATTCAACCCACCATAACATACCCCACATATACTCTGCCACCCCCATCGCAAATAATGCGACGTTGACAAATGATATTTATGGTATTGGTTTATTTATTTGGAGTTTTAGCATTCAACATGCTCACATGTTGAATGCTAAAACTCCAAATAAATTATTTCTTTGGAGTCACTAAGTTTTTATGAAGCTTTACAGCAAATAAAACTAGTTTTGTTGACTAGTTATATGGAGAGGAGAGAGTAAGACTATATATATATATATATATATATATATATATATATATATATTAAATAAATTAGTTATATTATGATCAATAAGGTTTTAAAAAATCTAGGGTTTAAGCATTGATATTCTATTTTTCAGTTATGCTTTTAAGCCTTATGCTTATATTTTACAAGCTTATTAGATGCTATAATAGTAATAAAAATCTGCTTGCAGCAATCTTGTCATGATGTCTTCATAAAATAGCTTTCAAAGTAATTTTCTGTTTGATAATCTATTGTTTTAAAAAAGATATTGATAAAGACAAAAAATACTTAAAACCATAACATTTCACATGGAAATAATTAGAGCATTTTTTTTTTTTTTTTTAAAAAAAAAAAAAAAAAAAAAAACAAACACAAACACAACAGAATAATTACTTAACTTGCTATACATGTCCATATACCTGGAAAAGTCTTTTTAATTATTACTATTATTATTATTGGTGGAAGTGGAGCTATCTTCCATGTACCCACCTTTGATTAAACATCTGATCTTTCAATTTGCTATTAAAACAACAAAGGTGATAATCCTACTCTGGTGATATTAAACAAAACAAACAAAACAAAAATCTGTAACCCAAACCACTACATAGCATCATCAGTCATGTTGTTTACTGTTGATTTGTTTAAAAAAATAAATAAATAAATAAAAAAAATTTAAATGCGTTATATTTATTATTTAAAGAGGGGAAAATGGCAAATATTGCATTACAATGTAGTAGAAGTGTTTATTTACACTATTTATATTCAGACTGTTCTTTGTTATCATGTTTCAGCTATTGTATCCTCCAGACTTCCTCAGGTGTGTATTGATCTCTGTAACCTACAGGGAATTCTGAATTGAACCCCTTATTTAATCTATGGGGGTAGACTGTTCTTGTTCCACTGTCCATGTCTAGGGATATCATTGTCTTATTTATAGTATTGCTCAGTTATTGTGAATCCCAGTGCACACTACCCAAACCAAAAATTGAACTCAGAACCACTATGTACCAAAATTCATGATCCAACACTAATCCTGTAGGACAATTTGCTGTAATGAAGTTGGAGCTTTAAACCTAACCTGCCTGCTGATTAATGCTGCAAAACATTATTATTGTTGTTGGTGTTGTTGTTGTTCTTATCCCAAAGATGTGGACGATAGTCTGAATATAAGTAGTGTAAATAATGATAACACTTGTATCTGATCTGAATGTCCAGAGGTGAGGTGTTGGAATTCTTATATTTTATAAATTGAAGTCTTGTGAAGGAGACAACACTTTATGTAAGAAGAGCCAACAATATGGGTGACTTAGAAATATTCTGTATAGGATTAAAAATCTTAAGTTCTGAATTAAGAGGTGGTTCCATGCTTATCAAAGCCTCCTGGTCAGAGGGCTTGCTGCCGAATGTAGTTTATCATCATACCCAGGATGAAAAATTAAAGACACTAACATTATATTTGCATCATGTACAGTAAGAGTAACAAAAAAGAAAACAATGGGTACATGGGTGGAAGGTAGGTTTAATGGTTAAGTTAACAAGCCCATCTAGCCTATCACCTGTACTATAGTGAGGTTGATCTTCACTGGGTGCAGCTCTGCCTACTTGTGAAAATCAGAATCTCAAATGTTGATTTTCTCAATGATAAAATCATTCCAACTTTGGAAATGGATGCTATTTAATCACCATAATCTCATTTGCGATTTAAAAAAATATATATAAACTGGTATCTAGACAAGGCTACAATTTAAGTACGAAGATGGAATTGGCTTGGAACCCTTGCTACCCATTGTGTGATCCCAAATGTTATGAGTCACTGCTTTTAGTAGGTTCCATGCAACAATCACAAACTAAACAGGAAGCCAGATGGTACACTTGTTAGTATTAACCAAAAGAAAAAGCTGTTTATTATATAAAGTGCATATTAGAAAAAAAAATGATTGAGAAAAAATATATATAAAGACTTACCTGTGAAAAGCTAATAATAGTAATATGCTGCCATTTTTGATGACATAAGTAGTAGATAAATAATTCCATGAATAAAAACAAAAGGAAAACTTTTTTTCTTACAGATGCATGTCAGTTTCTGATGGACTTTATCAAGGCAAATGTAAGGATTTTATTTTGCAATAAGTATTTATAAACCTAAGTAAAAAAAATATTAGGTATTCAACATTTTTAAATTTAAGAACATTTGAATATTCTTCAGGCTAACTGGGAAGGCAAAGCAAATTATGGAAGATGCTAAGTGATGTAATTTATTGTCTAAAAAAATGAAAGTGAGTAAATGTTGAATATTTTTTAATTGTTTATACATATTTATTTTAAATTATAGGTTTTGATTTAACTTTTAATTTTATGGCCATGTATATTGTCTTGGGAAAAGAATATATTTTAGGAAAGGAGATATTTGAAAAGATCTGCGGCACATTTACATTTTGGCAAGATTCAGTAGCAGCACTCTCAAGAACTTTCCATCTAAGCAAACTCAAGCAAGTGTACCATTCTTTAGGTTATGGTATTTGAACTTATTTCTATGTATGATAAGGAATTTGATAAATTATATATAAGATCCATTTTTTTTGTGTTTATAAACTTTTGTTTTTTAAATTTCTGCACCAATATATTGTAAGGAACAGTTGTGACAGTTTATCTTATGTATACCTGCTTCAGAGTTATTGTTATGAATATTGTTGGTTCTGATGATATCCAAAATAGTTTTGAATGTGGTTGTAATTATTTTTTGGCAATTGTTAAGATTGTATAAATTGTTTTGGATAGTAGATGTTAAAGAGTTACTAGATAATATTATATGCCTGTTTTTATCTAGTCTGACATGCCCATTTTTTTGTAGTTGTAGATTTTTTATGCCTTTCTCTTAGCATTGCAGTTGAAATAGTAAGAATATTGGAGTTTTTTTTCTTAAGGTATTTATATATATATATATATATATATATATATATATATATATATATATATATATATTCAGGTAAATATTGGGGGCTGCAGATTCTTAGTGCTCTTAAATAAAATCCTGTAATTATTCCAGATTTTATGGTTTTTCCTCTGCATTCTATTATATCTGTAAAGAAAAGTATTCTTTTTGTTTTGTTTTTTTTTTTTAATAAAAATATGTTAGTGAGATAAAACTGAAATTTTTCAGAAAGGAAAAAAATTTATTTTAGAAAAAAATTATTTACAAGGATTAGTTTTTAGCAAAAAAATGTTTTCATTCTATTAATATTGATGTAGTCTCATGAGTGGTGGAGAGTCGTGTACTGTATAAGGCCTTATGCCACATGCGCACAACGATAAAGGTTTCACATAAAGGAACAATTTCTATTCCCTACTAGCCTGTGAGTTGAAAGAAAAAAAAACTATAGTTAAAAAAAAAAAATTTTGAATGCTAATAGGAAAGAAATTAGAATTAGTAGAAAATAAAAAAAGAAAGTGGTTAAGTTCAATGAAATTAACAGCTTTTTTTTCTTCCTTAATGGAATACATTAAAAAAATAGATATCTATCTTTAGTTAGTCACTCGTGGAATCTTAAAGTCGACAATACCAATTTGTTTCTGGGGTATGTCACTGTTGAATTCTTCTTTCTCCATGCGTTTACGACGGACGAGGAAGACGAGGACAGCACACAACACCAAAAGTATAATGACAACAGCTGCCATACATGTGACAAGTGTCACAAACTCGCTCTTCTGGAGACAATCTTCAGGGTCTTTGAGAGCTGCAAATGGTAAAAAAAAATAAACCAATAAAATGAGTAAGAAAAACATTCAGCTGGATTCTCAAATTTTTCAGTGTACAAATTGGAGTAATTTATCTATATGCCTGCTCCAATGGAATATGGCATAAAGCCATGTTTAAAGCAAGAGTTGCACTCGTTGATCTAGGGACAAAAAATGCTCAAGAATAAATAAATAGTGTTTATTATTTTTGTTGGCAATCAAAGAAAATTTATAAATTCACTTTCATATGTTTAGATTTTCATACAATTCTAATCATCACTTTTAAAACAAACATTGCTGAAGGAGTGAAGGTAGTTAAAATAATAGTGGTGTCAAGGGAAAACCATCCTTTTGACACTCAGTTTTTTTTGGTGGGGGGGTTTCGGAATGAATTTCTAAGTTTGCCATGATCGTTACCAATTCAACAATTACTCAAGTACTTGTAAAATTATTAATAATTAAATTCCAAATAAATTTTTGAGCTTTTTTTATTTATTTTTTTTTTTCCTTTAAAAAAGAATTATATCGATAAAGAGTTGATGTTTGACTATCTGTTATGCTTACAGTTTAAGACAATTACTTACCAGACATATTCTGAATGCTCAATTCACGAACATACAAAGTCTTTGAAAGAGTCTGTTTTTCAGAACCATTGGGTTTGCCACTGACGCTGACCAAATCCCTACGTTTTCTGCCAAAAGCATTGCCAGACTCTGAACAAGCAAGCTATAAAAACACATTCAAAATAGAACAAGTATTATACATAAAACATATAGTATTACACATGATATAGATACGACACACAAGTTTAGGGAAGTTAAAGGAAGAAATGACCTCTTCAAAGTAACAGTTTATGCATGACATCACTCATACAATATGCCTATATTTGAAATAATCTGAATTCTAGCATTCACAAAAATTAAAAATGTCAGTATGTAGGCAACAGAATCTTGTCTAACACACTGGTAACATCTAGTTCTTGATAATGACAAGTTTGAAAGTACTTGGACAGAAAAGAAAACATGATTTGTAGTTTATGCACAATTTTGATTCCCAATGTGCAACACCTTATTTGAAAATCGAAAAAAAATGCAATAAAAAATATTAAATGGTTGAATTTAACAAAACTTTAAATGAATTCTTGCAACACTCACTGCATTTCATATATATATATATATATATATATATATGTATGAAGAAATATTCTCTTATGCTATATTTATGGGATCAAGTACTCAATGTCAGAGATAGTGTGTGTAAATATAAAAGTGAACATTGAAGTCAACACTTAGAGGCGATTGACTGTTTCATGCTAGATACAATCATCAGGCCACGTGGCCTGATGATTGCATCTAGCATAAAACAGTCAGTCGCCTCTAAGTGTTGACTTCAATGTTCACTTATATGTGTGTGTGTGTGTGTGAGAGAGAGAGAGCAGATAGATAAATGATAATGATGGTTGTCAATTCCAGCATGAATGTCAAGCAGTACAGCATGCCATTTCCAAATTTCTGGGAGAGTGAATTGCATCATGGTGCTGTTTTTCTCACAGATGGTGCCCAATTGACCCTACTATACTGTGCAGTCAACAATATAAAAACAATGTGCATGCACAAAATTAAAAATATAAAATGGTGACAATTTAACCATCATACCCTGTATAATGGCATCAATGTTTTTTATTATAGTTGCCATTATTAGGAATCACTTCTTTGGATACTTGAACCTCTAAATAATTTTATCAAGACCAGAAAGGGAATATTGGTCAGTTCCAACCCAGATACAGCAATGATATTCCATTTTTGGTCTGCTTTAACTCTTGTAGCAGGATACTTTCGGAAATGGTACAAGAAATTAACCATTTTAGCAATGGTCCATATATACCAAGACGATCATATGACAATTTAAGCCGCAAATAATAATCAATTCAGGAAGAACACAGAACACAAATAGAAAGTTTAAAGGAGTATTATTCATTTATACAAATATTGTTTGAAATAATAGTTCTTGCTGCAAACAAATTGTTCTGTTTGCGGCTATGTATTATATAATGAAACATAAGTCCACTTAACTGAAGTCCTTTGTGTTGTTTAGAATGTTTTACGTACTCATTAGTACAGCTCTCATGTCCTAACTGTTGTTATTGAAGTAGTGACAATTTTTACATCCTGTCTCTTGCAGATCTTGGCGCCAACATATTCTGGCTAGTGATTGGTTGGTTTGAAAAGGTGTATTGACCAAGCAAATACACTATACATGATCACTAGGGAATGCAGTTGACCAAGGGAGATAACTCACCTAATATATATTTTCTTATAATCCTTAACCCTACACCATGCTTAGATCTTCAATTACTGGAATCAAACAATTAACACACAAAAGTCTGTTGCTGGAATTGTACTAAGAATTTTTTTTTTTTTAAGAAATTTTTACTTTTTGTCTTTGCATTAACTTAAGTTTATTATTTAAGATACTGAAGTAAGTATAATGTTTATATCACATATAAATTGAATATTTTTCTCTGTTATTGTCCTTCAACAATGAATGACAACATTAAGTATAAAATTATTTTTTATGATTAATTTATGTTTTTCTTTAACATAAGTATTTTTTTAAAAAGTATATTGGATTTTTCTGTCCTTCATAAATACATAGACATTAAAATTTAACATTTTTCACTGTGAAATTAATGGTTTGGTTTGGTTTACAGCATATCAACCTCAATGGGTTATTTAATGCCAACAAAATTGTTATTGCTGGTAATATTTTTCAAAAATGTATTGCTGGTAATAATTTTTTTAGAAAGTAATTCTGGTATTAAATCATATTTTTACACTTTCTTAGTGTTTTGACACCTTTTGGGGGGGTTAACTATTTACCCATAGCTGGAACCCTAACTGGTGCTACCACCCCAGGTCAGGGTGGACCTGGGAACACCAGCAATTAAAAGGGGGTTCCATGCTCCTTAAAACATCCTGATCAGAGGCCTTGCTGTTGGACATAGTTTATCATCTTACCCAGGACAGGCAAAATTAATGAAAAGTGACACTTAAAGAAATTATCATAAAGGTAATTTCAAAAATCAAATTCGATAAATTTAATATTTTACAACTGTTCTTAAAAATATACTTCAGAAATGTAAAAGACAACATTATTGTCTTGTCAACATTATCTTTCATTCTTTTACATTTTTTTTGTGAATATTTTAAACAACAAAATAAAAAAATAAAAAAATGTCATTAAGAATTTCATCACAAAGTTAATTTAATTTTTTCTTTATGCTATTATTCTTCATAAAAAACAAATATTTTGATTATAAAATTCATTTTTTAATGAATAATTTGTGCTTTCTTTATAACTGGTAAAGTATATTGAAACTGTCCAAGAAAATAAAAAATAAAATTAACTTTTGCACTGCTAATTTTCCTATTTTATTAAAAAGACATTTGCTTATTTGGAAAAATCTGAATTAAAATTTAATTTAATATTTTTTCTATGATTTTATTTTTCAGAACAAAAAACATATTGACTTAAAAATTTAAAAAAAAATAATTATTTACAAGTATTAAAAAAAAAATATGTTGAATTTTACTAGCATTGTTAAAATAAAAATGTAAAACAAAATTAACAAATTTAATATTTTTACAGAATATTCTTTAAAAATATACTGTAAAAATATTAAACTGGTTAATTTTGTTTAGATAATCATATTTTATAGGGGAGGAAGTGATTGATCCACAACCTTGTAAAATACAATTATCCAAAAACTTTAATGAGGGAGGTTCAGTTTGCTATGTAACTTCAACATAAAATGGAAACTGACTAGAGAAACAATTTGGAAATCTTTGGTACCACATAATATTCTCAGTAATTGCTATTTTGTAGTAATTTACATTTCCACATGTCCACGCCTAATCGTGCACCCAAGTTGCATGGTTGCCAGACCTGGGTTAAGGATCACCTTGGTATATACAAATTCAGACTGACAAATGAATATAATCTTAAAGTATTAGTTTTGGCTAACCACTGGACCATTTTTCTTCCTTTAATTCTCCATAAAAGTGCTACTTCTAAATATATTAGTCAGTCATGCATGCAAAATGTCCAGCCTTAATGTGAAGGTGTATTGAGCAGAATTTTTATATATTGATCAAAGTTCTGCCAAAAAAAAAAAAAAGTTGATGTTTGATCTATAGATTTTTAATTTGGTTTTTATGTTCCAGTAAATAGCTGACTCCTGTTATCTTTTACCTTTACAAGAGCCAAATCATGCCAAAAATGAAGTACTGATGCCACATATAGGCAGAAGCTAGCCAATCTTTACTTTCCAATTTCAATAGAGTCCAAAAGCATCTATGCGTCCTTGTGGGTAACAAATTATTTCCCAATCTATAAACTATTTCTCACAGATAAAAAATTACAAGCCACTTTGCTGCTCTATCACAATTTTCATTAAAAGTATTCAGATGAACTACATTCTTTTGCGCCACTTGTTCTAATCTTCACAGCTAAGACCCACTATGCCATGTACATTGTAGTGAATCACCTTCATTACCTTCTTATTCCATTGATGAGATGTAACTTTCACTTGAGCAGCAGCTTCCCATGAGTTGAGGCTTTGTAGAAGCAACTCCCAGGAGGATACTTCCCCAATCACTACAATCTTAATCTGTTCAAGTCTAGGATTAACTATTATCTTTCCCCACATATACCATGCCACTTACTCTGTAATCCTCTACCTCAAGTGGCTCTTGGATCTTGTACAGATTGAACTTCATTGTAAAATATATATGTGCAGGTGTATGTTTGTGTGTGGAGTGCTTCTTTGAACAGTGTGCCTTGAGATTTTTTTTCTTTTTTATTACATGAGAAATGACCCCATCATCAAGAGAGCAGAATCAATTAAGGAAGCTACCTAAATAGGTGAATTTGTCACCACCCTCAAGCCTTTTTTCCCCGTCCACTAAAATAGAGGATTCAATATAAGCTTTACCAGGCACTGGACGATACTGTGGACATTGCCCCATCTTGTTTGCAATGACAATCACTAGGTGTCATCATATTCAGGACTATAAAAAGGACAGACATAAATTCTCTTTCTCTTGCTACTCTGTGATGTTGTAGAGGCAACACAGAACTTGGCTTGAACTACTGGGACTAAGGAATATAGCTTGCTTAAACTTCTGCCATGAAAATAACAATAGAGTAACAAGAGATTTGTAATTTTTTGTCCGTGTCATCCACGTACCTTGTGTTAAGTTTATGGACACAGATAGTAAATCCTGGTAGGCCTTCTACTTCTTTTAGGATCATCTTGCTGTATGGATTAAACAAATCCAGTGAGAAAATGCCTCCTTGTCTTACCATTGTTCTAATTTTAGTGTACATTAATAACTTTTCTATTTGCATGCAGTTTGTTCCTAAATGTTTGTAAATGTTGCAGGTTATCCTAATATCTTTCCCATGTAAGTCAAGCTTACCTAGCAGTTCAAATAGGTTTTCATGTCTTACCTTTTGGAATGTTTTCATGCAAGCCACTAAGAATATTTGCTACTCATGATACAGTTGTAGTCAACCTGTTTATTATTTTGTCTTATTCTTTAAAGTTTAGCAAGGTCTGAATGTTAGTGTAAAAAGTACTTACATCAGAGCACGTAGTGTCTCCAGGCTTGCAACCAATGACATTACAACGGAATGACACAGCTGGAGATTTTACGAAACGGAAAGCCCGAATGAGCAAGGAGATGGTTTTTGGAGTGCTGCCGTCTTTCTCCAAATCGCCAGCAATCACACTGAAAGCATTCTTGTTGACACAACTTTAAAATAAGATGAAAAAAAGAAAAATTGTTAGAAATGGCAAAATAAAACTTGCTTACTTTTAGTAATGCAGCTTGTTAGTAAAAGTATAAAGGATGTTTCTTTAAGACAGATTATATATAAGGGTGTTTCATTAAGATGGATCAAAGTCAGCAGTAAATGAACCAGTGTTATTGGTGAAAATTTATTTATTTCTTTATTGGATCATGTTATTTAAGCCATAGCAATTATGTGTGAAAAATAATATTATCCAAATGGCCACCAAATCTGAAAGAAAAAGAAAAAAATCATTAGACGCTTAAACTTAATTCACATTAAAATCGATCCAAGTTATTAAAACACCCTTTATAATATGCCTAAGTCTATTTATTTTTAGTGTAACTTGTGTGTAACCTTTATTGTATTATAGCTGTATCCATAACAATGATGATGCCATGTGACAGTGTCTTTGCTGTGACAATGGTGGACTGTTCCCAGATATTTCCAGTGGCAAAACCGATACCATGAAAAAGCAGAGGACAATTATAATATTTGCAAAATATATATCAAAACTAACATATGAAAACCTAATACTTACTTAGGTAAAATTTTTCATCTCTCAGTTGAACGGAGCCCTTTATTTTTATCTATGGGGGTAAATTTGTTCTCGTTTGGCTGTCCATGTTCAGGGATATCTCATCTAGTTATTATCTACCTCAAAGATTAAATAAAGAGTTCAGTTTGAAATTCCCTGAAGATTACATGAATCAACAATCATCTGATGAAAATCACAGGTTCCATCTGAAATGTTGTGTTAGCAAAATTAAATATAGGGTGTAAATATTTGTGCATAATTAATGATAATTCCTAGTCCCAGAACTTCAGAGAGAAATAGACTCAGAGTGGAATACTTTTGCATGAAATTGTGTAACTTAGGTTAATGACTCAGCTTTTTTTTCTTTTTTTTTTCCAGACCACATATCTGGTTTCTCTTAAACAAAAATAAATACGACATGAGAAGACGCAATATTTGAAAAAGAAGTAACTAACACTGCACAAAACTAAAACTGAAATTACTCAGACATTGGCCAATTCATATTTAAATTTTAACCAGAAACCTGAAAAATGGTACAAAATAGAGAAGAAAAATTTTTTTAAAAATCCTTAAAAGAGCTTTCATTTGTCTTTAAAAAAAACTTGTATAAACAAAAAAATTATATAAAGATATATTGTTTTAAGGTGTGCTATATTTATGAGATAAAGTTCTCAATATCAGAGATAGAACATATGTAAATATAAAAGTGAACATTGAAGTCAACACTCAAAGGCAACAGGCTGTTTCATGCTAGATGCAATCTTCAGCCATGAATGTTGGATTTTTCCTTGACTATTTTTTGTATATGGGTCAGTGGTTCATTGTGGGTAATCTGTTCTGGCAATTAATTTTGCGGGAGTGGCTTGTTTATTTATTTATTTGAGTTGATTTAATTACTTGTTTTTTCATTTTCATTTTGTATTATTTATTCTTTTCAGTTTTTGATGTTTTATTAACATAATAAAAAAAATTGTGAAGGCAGATTTGCTTCGGTCACTTATTTAATAGTTTGTTTTGGCCTGGGAAGATATTTATTCATCCAATGTTTAGATTGCTTGCCGTAGTCTATTCTGTTATTTTGGTTGGGGGGGGGGACGGTTTTTAATTAATTTATTTATGTGGATTGATTATTTTTATTTGTTTTTGCTTATTTATGCTTATTTTTATTAGTTCTAATGGTTATTTTAGTGGGGATGATTTTTTAATTTGTTCATTTATTTATTTGGATTAATTTTTGATTTTTTATTCATTTACTTATGTTTTTTATTTTGCATATTTTTACTTAATCTATTTGGTTTTGGATTTTTGAGTAATGTAAAGTTTTTTTTGCATTTTAACATTATAGGTTGAAGGTAACATCTAGAAATTTTCTAGATGTTACCAGCTGATGTTTATTTCTGCTCAAATGAGATTGTGTAATTAACATTAAAGGCTTTTGTGTAAACAATCAAGAATTGATTATATGGAATCAATTGCTAGGTCTACTTTCCTAGTTGGTTCACTGTGTCATGCCAGACAATTCTTGTCAGAATCTACCCTGTACATTTATTAATCTACCATTCACCCATGCGTTGAATATTGCTGCCATATCTGGTCTGATACTCCTTCTATATATCCTGTGACTGACAAAATTCAAAGGATCTGTAATATAATGAATACTGACCTGGTAGCTTCACTTCAGTCACTTTCTCAACAACATGACATGGCTTCCCTCTGTCTTTTTTTTTCTACAAATATTTTCAAGGCAATTGTTCTGATGTGCTTCTTTCCTTAGTGCTTCAACTACATGAATTTAGACATGCTACTAGATTGGCAAGTAGGTCCCACCATTTTTCTGTTGAGCTAGCTAGATGCAATCATCAGTTCTATTCTAATGGTTTCTTTTCTTGCACTCCTCACTTGAGGAACTCTACCAATTTCTTACTTTCCTGCCACCTACAATCTTCAAAGATTTAAATGCAATGTCAATCACCATCACCAGTCTTCCTGAATCTTGGTCCTTTATTGTCTCTTTTCCTCAGTAAAGTCGTCTTATTCTATTTCACTCGCTGTAAATCTCTGTTCTAGTAGAATTATCACCTTGCTTGGGGTGAAAAGATTTTAAAAAAAAGTTTAAGTTGTGGATTTATAAGGAGATAGTGAATAAATACCCCTATCACATCATTAAATATTTGAGCTTAACAACTTTAACAAAATATTGCAATAACAATCATAAATATGAATGCTGGTCATTATTTTAAGAAGTGGGTACAAATGAAAAGATTTAAAATTGATAACTTTTTTCCATTTCACTTAAGCAGCTGTTAAACACTTTTTTCTTCCCTTTCTATTTTTTTTTCATTTTTTCACTGAAATCAAGTAGAATCTTTTCCCCTCTTTCCATGCAACCAAAACAGAATAGTCCAAGCACAATTATAATAGGATTCTGCAATATGAAAAATCATTTCATTTTATAAAATATCATAGAATAAATAATCTCTTGACATTTCCCAGTAGTTTTGAGAATCCCAAGTTACATTCCACCTCTTGTGTTCCTGCATTTTATAAATTCCTCCTCCATTTCAAATTTTTAACCATGATACATATGAGTGAAATACCCCACCCTTTACACTAGAATTTATTGCCTTAGATTTAATTTCTACCTTTTTAAAAATCAATGCTACAGAGAGAAATAGAGAGCACTGCAATCACTTCACTGCAAAACTTTGAATCCTTTTTTACAGTTTATCAACACTTTGCAGGTTATTTAAAGCCAGAAAATATTTTTAGATTGTAAGAATTTTTTTGGTAGATAATAATGGTTTAGTGATACAAGTCTTACTAATTAATCCATAGCTAGAGGGAGAAGATGTGGATTCACACTGCTTTCCCAAGGATATTTGGGAAAGTGAATATAATGAACCTGACTGGAATTAGAACTCAGCTCTCCAGTTCAGTTATCCATTACACCACCCACACATCCAATCTTACAGTACCTGGTATTCCCAAATGGTCACCCAGCTAAATACTGATCAGACTTGAAGTTACTTTAATTCAGTGTTTGTAAGAGAAGTGAAGTTTCAATGTGATATGACTGTAAGCCACTGCAGAACTCCAGGTTGATCACATGTAGATAAAATGAAATTGATCTTATCAGCAGTTTCATTCCAAGTACCATCTTGTGGAGGCTTGTAGCAATGGCTATCTTAGATAAGAAAAGTCATTTTGTAACTAAAGCCAATAGCTATTAATTGCCAGTGTTATTTTGATTTTTATCATTCTATCATCAAGATGATCTTTGGGATGGCTCCAAGTGTGCCATTAAGGATAGGTACAACTGTCACCTTTATATTCTGTTTTTCAGTTATCTAAATCTAGCTTTTTACTCAAGTATGTGAATATATCAAAATACCTCAGAGAGTTGAGATCCCTAACTTGAACAGTTCATTACCCCTTAGAATATGTATAGGTATAGTGAGTTAGCCTTGGTTGGCAGCCTATCTAGGAGAAAGATCATTTATTTCCAAACACTGGTAGATGGGACTCTTTAGTCCCCTCAATGACAACCTTTCAAGTGGGCAACAGCTTCATCCTTGTGATGAGGGAGGATCATTTGCAGAATGATTTGAAGAGGATTTGGAACATGTCACTGCCCCCCACCCCACCCCCATTGAGAATTATATACATGCAAAATGTGTGAGTGGTGTAATGGGTCTAATGCATAGAAGCTCAGAATGAGAAACTAATTCTAGAATAATTCAATAAAAATTATTTGGCAATAAACAGCTTGAAAAAGTCCTATTATACTTGCAACCATATGCAAATATAACATTTCCTACTTTGTTGGTTGATTTGTTTTCTACAGCTCATCCACTCTCTGCAGGTTATTTAAAGCCAGGAATGTTTAGATTGTTAAAAAAAAAAAAAAAAAAAAAAAAATTTTTAGATAATGTTTTTTAGTGATAAAAATCTTACTAATTAACCTGTAGCTGGAGGGACAAGAAGTGGATTCATACCTCTCCCATTGGTATTTGTGCATTAGTGAATATAACAAACCCAACTGGAATTAGAACTCAGCTCTCTGATTAAAGATTCCAAGCCATTATCCATTACACCACCCACACATCTTAGCATATAGCACCTGGTATTCCCAAGCAGTCACCCATCTAGGTACTGACCAGGTTTGACATTGGTTAACTTTGATGAATGTACAGGAACCAATGTATTAATGCTATATGGTCATAAGTATTTCTATTTGGGACGAAAACATGTACACTCACATTGTAGAAATTTCTTAGCCATGTGAAAGTTTCTTGTTTCAGCTCATTATCACTGGAGAACAACTGTCAACCAAATGACTCTTCCATGAAAGCTATCCATTATGGACCATTCCTAGAATCTCTTAGACAGCAACTACTATCTCCTCCTTTATGGATTGGTAACATTCTTGGAATCCACTTTGCAAAGACATTTGAGTTACCAAGAGACAACGGTAAACTGTTTACTACCACAACTCACCTGAAAGTTTTCACAGAGTTTTGCAGTTTTTCTTCTGTCAAATGTAATTATAATATCAACCTGTTTTGGCCTTATTTTCATACATTGCATCAGCTGACCTGTCATTGTGGGGCCAAACCCTAAAGTCATTCTCTCCAGGTTTACCATATTCTTTACTGAACCATCTCCCTTATGTGATTACATCAAATGCATAAACATTTACCAACTGCCTATGACTGTTTGCAGCATTTTCCTTTTTCCACAACAGAAATTATATGACAGTTGTTTGTTCGCTTCCTCTGTGTGTCTGGAGGTTTAGCCATATTGAAAGAGGATTATGGGTAGGAAACAAGAAAGTAATTCTACCCATCTGGACTTGTAAGACACTTTATGATTTATAGATGATAACGTCAACAATAATAAAATACTAGAGATTGTAATACTTTTAAAATTAAATAAAAAATAAACAGTAATTATTTTATGACTGACCACCATAAATATTTCCATTTGCAGTTGTTAAGAAATATATATATTATATTAGTTGACTGAAAGTTCAGTTTTCTTATTATTCTTCTATATGCCATGTTTCCATCACTTTCTACAATTTCCTGTCTTTTGTAACTTAATAAATTGTTTTTTGTTATTTCTTCTAAAACTTGTTCTGCCATTCATTTACTCATGCTCACTACATGTGTTATGCATTGTTTTCCTCTGTCCCTCTTGCCTGTGATTATCAGATTTTCCAAGCCGTCTTTCCTCATTATGTGTCCTAGAAATTTCAACCATCTCTTCCTGATGTTATGTACAAGTGTCCTTTTTGTTTGCATTTTCACTATAACTTTATCATTGCTCTCATGTTCAGGTCATGATATTTCAGCATCCTTCTATAGAACCACATTTCTATTGCTTCAAGTCTCTTCTTCATCTGTGAGAAGATTGTCATATAGGAGAACTGATATTACATAGCAGTTGAGTACTCTTTTCTTTGTTTCTGTTGCTTCAAGTCTCTTCTTCATCTGTGAGGAGATTGTCCAGCATTCACTGTCATATAGGAGAACTGATATTACATAACAGTTCAGAAATCTTCTTTATTTCTAACAATTTTTTTTTTCTCTTTCTTAATACTTTGCTTAACTATACCAATGCACCTTTGAATGTGAATGTCAAACTTTTGTCTTCTGTTAAAACACTTCCCAGATATTTAAATTGTTGTACTTGCTTGATTATGATATCTTCAATTTGTACTTTGAGCTGTTCTTTTTACTAACAACCATGCATTCTGTCTTCTTGCAATAAAGGTTCAAGTCCTTTCTTCTCACTTTCCTTCACTAATTTCTGTAGGTGTTTTTGTAGTTTCCTTTTTGTGTCTGCTATCAATACTGTGTCATCTGCATATCTTATGTTGCTAAAATTGTGACCACCAATAATGAATCCTGGAGTAAAGACAAGACTCAACTATTCATTGTGAAAAACAATTATTAATGTTAGTGTATACATATATGATGCTGCATGTAGAGAGTAGCAGTATTCAATGGTCATTAATTTTCAGTGATTCCCAAACTTTTTTTTCTGTGTCGCATTTTTAGAATGAAAATTTGCTTGCACCTCAGCAAATTTTATTTGATGAAAAGTACATTTAAAAATAAAAAAGAGGATTAAAGGGAGATAACTGCAGATTCGAAATCAGAACCTTTGATTATTATTGATAATTCTCTCCTCCAATTTGCAGACCCTAGTTACTATATTCTTAATACTTGATATATTGCAAAAATATCACACTGAGAAAATCGGTCAATAATTATTTATAACAATTTATACTGGGACTCATGCATGCAGTTACAAGTAATCCATAATAATATTTTAAAGTTTAAAACTATATTTATTTTTGGTATATAAATTTTTTGAAACTGTTTCTAAATCTTTGATTGTCTTTCAATCATTCTGCCGAGCCTGCTATATTCTTCAACCACACCTAGGAGGCACACTGCACTGTTTCAGAACCACTTAAAGTTTAAGTTGAAAGAAGAGTATGAGTCACTTTATACAATTCGTGTGTGTGTGTGTGTTGTTTAACTCATTAGGGTTGCCAAATGTGCTGCGGCAGTGATGAGTCTAGGATAAGATAGCCTGATGGAGCTCAGTCTGGTTTTCAATTCAGAGTTGTGCTTCTCCTAAACTGGTTGCCACCTATTTAACTTATAGCTGGAAGAGGAGAAAAGATGGATTCATAAATTTCCCAAGGATATTTGTTCGAAAGTGAAAGTAATAAACTCAACCAGAATTTAAACTCAGTGCAACAATTTCTCTTTTGCTAACCATTACACTACCCACACAATCATACAAGTCAGGCATTATTTTGATATTTTACATTATTTTAAAACACTAGAAACTGATTGTTACTTTCCCATGCATATGTTCAAGCAAATACAGCACAAACATTTTGGTAGATCAGAAATTGGAGCACATATTCTATGCATAAGAATAGACTTATATGGTTCAATTTGGTCTTTTTCATCATTTCAAGAGGAGCTTCTTTGGTCTTGTGTATCTTCAGGCCTGTATTTAACATAAAAATAAAGTATAACAAAGCTCAAAATTGTTGTGATTCTCGGTTACCTGTTTTCAATAAGCTTGATGCTGCCATGGCCGCCACCAGCTTCAAATGCTTCACAATCACTCACATGGAAATCACTGAAAACTGAAATAAATAAAAGATAACAATTATAAATAAAAAAAAATAAACTTTTCATTCAATTCTGCTGTTTCAATTATGGGCATCGGGATGTTTACAGAATAGTGTCTTGTAGCATTACCCCTACTTAACTGCTAAAGAACTTCCGCTAACTACTGCTAGATGACACTGTCAAAGCAGTATATAAAGAAGAGGGGCACAAAAATTTTTCCTCCCCTTTTGTCCATATAATGCTTTAGAGATATAACAATTCTCCCAAAGAAACAAAGAACTCTTCTAAAAATATAAGTCTTGCATACATGTTCATAGGTAAAAAGACATCTCTATACACACTTTCAATGGCCCCTTTGTGTTCTTTCTATTTAGTTTGCTTAGGCAATAAAATATATTGTTTGTATATTCTTTTTTTATTCTCTTTTTGGAAACCAATACATGGTCAATATCTCACTATATTTCTTCAACAACTGGTAATCCCAGAGTAGTCTCAGAAGATCTTTGGTATAGGTAACATAACACTTATTGGTGCAGAAAATAGAATTGGTGTGCAAAGTTCAAATTCTAACCGAATCTGTTGTGTTTACCTTGCACTTGGAAAAAGGCATGAATCCATTTTTAAAAATGATTCCAAAACTCAAAATGTTATCCTATCCTGCACTAGGCACACTGCTGTTATAGCCGCAGCATATATGTGGTGCCCCTCTACAAGCCTACTGGTTTACAGGACTTTTGAGCAATAGAAAATGTTTAATAGTTTGTTTTGGTATACAGGTCTCATAACAGTCAACAAATTCAACCATTTTTACAATCAATACCAAATTGATATAGTATGAATATTTCTAATAGATTCCCCCCCCTAAATAATAACAAAAAGAAATTACTACAATTAAAATACTGCATAGTTTTGCATTTCATTTTTGAGATGAGTAATTGTCAATATATTTTAATTTATTCAAACTATTTTTCCCATCTTAATTGTTATAGAATCTATTAAAACACAACATTTCGGTTAAGTACATTCTGGCCATCTTCAGGTGTCCATTGTTTGATATAGACTATCTGCTGATCATTGTGTCTATTTTGTCCCTGTGATATGTAAACATTTGTATTTGTCATGAGTTCAATTCCTAAATCAGGTAGTGAAACAAACACTGGTTCAGTAGAACAAGAATTGATACAACAGGGACAAAAAAAAAATTGATCAACAGATATCTTATAGTCAGCCAAAACAATTGACACCTGAAGATGGCCCGGAGGTATTTGGCCGAAACGTATCTAATAATCAAGATGAGAACCATTTTTGAATAAATTATTAAAATATATTAAAATGCTGCCTATTTTCCAAACAAACAGAACATAGAATTTCAGCTGAGTTTCTTACCAATTTATGAAGAGATCACAAACAGTACTAGATTTAGGCAAAAACTGCAGAATAAGTTATATACAATCTTAAGCAGGAACAATCATAATGGAAAAAGAAAAAAAGGTATAACAAAGATGAAATGAATGAGCTCTTCCAAGACAACAAGTGAGAGAAAACTATAGTACATAAAAACATAAAAAGGCCAATAGTATTCAAATTTGAGTTTAGATTAGCACCGGGCAAGAGGAAGAGCAGGTCCAGATGAGATTGTAATAGAGATGCTGACAGAATGAGACAATTTGGGAATCAAGAAGGTTAACAAAATGATAAATGAAATAGACAACAATGGTGAAATACTCAGCAGAGCAATCTTCATAGTATTGCCAAAAAAAAGTAAGTGCAAAAGAACTGTGACACTATTTAGCTATGGTAATTGGCTAACTAATTAACCATAGAAATTAAAAACGGGAAATGCTTAAAGGCGAGAAAGATTTATATTGAAAGATAGACTGAGCGACATTAAAAAGAAAAATTTATTTTATTTACAAAAGAAAGACGGAAAATCCGTAAGCAAAAGCGAGACTGTGATTCTGCCATAATTAATTAATGTCATGATAAGGAAGTGACGTGCAAATGAAACAGAATTCTGAAAGAAAAACAAATGCGGCCATGGAGAAAATTTGGCTTGGGTCCACTCTGGAGAATAGGTATTAATTATCTTTCAGAGATACCATTTAACTTTAATTCATGGTTCCAGTGAAGGAAGCCATCTGGTATATGCACGAATCTGACATGAAAGAAAAACCGAAAAGGGGATCATTATTATTGCTTATTCAAACTGTTGATGTCAAACATAGCGTCTCGAAAATGAGCATCTGGTGATAAGAGAATTTTAAGACATGAGAAAAATAAAGAATTTAATTATCAGGTAAACACGACCACCCAGTTAAAAGTTGACTAGCGGGTTTTTTTGACAATGATTAACAAGTCAGTAGAGATCCGAGCTAAGTGGATTTGGGATGTGATAAAGAATTAATTGGCAATCTGAGATTTGTAAATGTTTTGGCGGAAGGAAAAAAGAAAAAATGGATTTTATAAAAAAAATTCTGGAATAATTCTAAGCGGGCCGGTCTAGCAACACCCACACTGCCGAGTGATCATTGGCTAAGTGGTAGCATGGTTGACAGACCAAGGTGAATGTGTGAGAAAGACGAAGTTGGTAACGCCCACTGAGGGGATTGGTATGAAATACCAATGTGAGAAAGGAAGATTCTAGGAGGATAACTCTCCTCCGACCTTCACTCACGGACGAGGGAGGAACCCCGAAGTGGAAAGTGATTAATCTTCCAAAAATGGGAAGTAATTAATTTTCCTGCCCTAAGAAGAAAGAGAATTCTTGTTGGGAATTGAGAATTGTCAAGGAACCCAAACCATGACAGGCCCGCACACCGGAGTTAGTCGGTGTCCATATAAACGAACGTCTTGAAGCAGAGTTTGTTTTTTTTTTTTCAAGAGAGTTCGGAGTTGCAGTTGGAGACCAGCCTCGCAGAAGCTGACCGAAAGATTTCCATGTCCTTTCGACTTAGTCTTCCTACCAAAAGCGGGTTTTTATTGACGAACGATTTAAGATACCATAACTCGCTTAAGAAACGCAAAAAGTGTCACGGGTCCATAGAAACGGGCTGGGAGAGAAACACACTCTTGTATTCAACAGATAGATAAAGATAATTGTTATTTCTCAACATATTTGAACCTCTTGAATTTGTTTTATTATTATTATTATTTACTTACACGCGTGCGGTATCACCTTTACCCCGGATTCAGCTTGCACTACGGCCCGACGCCTGATCGATTTCGCCTACCTAAGATCAAAATCACAACGTGGGTAGTTTAGACTTGAGATCAAAGTAGTTACTTCGGTAACAAGACGTTGGAAGTGACCTAGGAACGACAAGTTGGTATCGAACCGGGAACGACCAGATCGACCGGGACACAGGCTGGTGGCAGCGACATCGAGTCAACCCCAAACGCTGGTGGAAGAAACCTTACAGCTTCGCGCCGCAACTGGGAGTGCACAAGTTCATACACAAATCCAATAAAAATCATTAAATCTAATATAAAAAAAGAAGAAAAATCGAATACTAAACAGATAAAATATAGACGGAAACTTAATTTAATTTTACAGTATCTGAGCGGGGGAGAGTTAATGGCGTAAGTGGGAGGTGGTGAGGAAGGGGAAAGGGAGAGAGGTTATTGTTTAGCAGGGGATTCCCCTTCCATAAAACATCAGGTAACAATCTTTCTGGGGTTTCTTTTCTTTTTTTGTTTCTTAACGGATCTCGACTGTTTTAGACTCACTGGCCCACTAAAAAATATATCCAATAACATTTGTTTTGTGGGTATGTTTTAAAATGTTTCTACAAGTAGACATGTCATTGAAAATGTTTATGTTGCGTCTTACCCCTGCTTTATCAGGGTGATATCGGTTCACGAAACTTTGCACCCCGCCGTAATTTGTGTTAAAAATTTTGTTTTGGCATCAAAGGAGTGGAGGTGGGGGCTATAAATCAGTATGGGAAATTTAACGTCTTGTTGCAAAAATCAGATGATTGTCGGATTTTAATGAAACTTTCAGGACTTATTCACAAACGAAATTTTTTTTAGAAACACCTTTTTTTTTTTTTTTTTTCGAGTTCATATATATATATATATATATATATATATATATATATATATATATATATATATTTTTACACTTATTTAATTTTATGAAATTTCGATAAAATATTCTTTGTAGCGCTTAATGTTTATTATTCACATTATTCGGACTATTGTCCTCATCTTTGTCGCCATATTTATTACAACATTTCGGCCATTGTACGCTCCGGCCTTCTTTCAGGTGGTTGGAATGTCGAACTTATCCCTCTATTTCGCTCACTGGGGTAGACTGTCCTAGTTCCACGTGCCATGTTTAATGGATGTCAGTTATCAGTTATCTCCTGTTAATTTCCCTCTGAAATTTCTCCACTGCCTTAACTGGGTATTGAACTCACATTCTTTGGGTCCTTTTACTGAATTTAACCAACGCCTTTATCCACTGTGCTATGTGTCCTTGAAGAAGAAGGCCGGATCGTACAACGGCCGAAACGTTGTAATAAATATGGTGACAAAGATGAGGACAATAGTCCGATTAATGTAAATAATGTACATAATACCTCATCTCAGAAATATAGACAGACGCTTAATGTCTATATTAATTATAAAGAGAAGTCCTCCGAGAATTGAAATCATTTTTTGTCAAGCAGGACCGCAGATTAGAGAAAATTTGCTCGTAAAATAAAAAATACAATAAAACTAAGACATTATTTAATTAGAAACGCTTTCAACTACTTTTCTAAATGAAATATATTATGGACAATGGCGATTCTGGAAAGTGGGGGGGGCACTACCACTTGGGGACCGAGATTTTTCTGCGGAGGATAGGGGGTAAATTCAAACCGCGTCTTTATTTTCATACTACCCCACTATCGTATACACAACTTAGGAATTAGTTTTAGTATGTTACTTCACTAAATTAAACAGAATAACTTTTCATTCATAGTAGTAGAGTTCTAATCTATTCTTGCCCTCTTTTCCGCTCTCAAGC